TTTGCTTATTCTTTTAAAATATCAAGAAGCCAAGAGATTCTTCAGGGCTGATGGAACTTCTTTGCTGTTCTCACTTGAGTCACAGCCTGGGAGAAAAACTTACTCTCCTCCAAGGCTGGGTTTCTCAGATCATTATCCGAATGCCAGGCCACTTCAGGAATTGGTGCTTCAAAAGTCTCAATTAAAAACACACTCTATGTGACGACTCTTAGAATTCAAAGTGCTGCACGCACATATTAAAGCATTAAGTGTTCTCTGAAGCACTTTCCTCAGAAGTAATACTCCCAAGAGAGGAGAATGCACTTAGGTAAAACCAATGGCACGTTCCATGCCATGATCTCAACAAGACTCACCCTCTGAGTGCTGGAATTTGCTCCCTGTTGGATGCAAGTGTCCTGGAAATACAGGAGACAGCGAGTTGACTCCTAAGTGGATTCACGGTTAGCCTATTGGAATATTGTATTACTTGTGCCTATAGGAACCTTCGATAGGCTCTGCTTTGGTATTGGTAGCCTGTAGGGGTCAGCTGTGTTTTATGTTTGCTCAGCATCCATCCCTCCTAATTCTAGTAAACTTCAGCTTTCTTGGGAAAGTCATTCCATACTTTCAAATGTGGGATGTGAGAGAAGCTAACCTCACCCCTAGTTCCAAAGGAGAGCATGAAGCTAGCCAAGGTATCACATCCCCTGGCTGCAGCCACACATCCAGAGAAAAGCAAGTCACCCAAAGCCAATGTAAACACTAAAATGCCAGTCTGTAGCTTTTCTTAGTGCTGTTGGGAAAGAGAAAGTTTTTGTCTGCTGGGACTTTTCACTATGGAATGTAATTCTGACACTATCAGAGGGACTACCTGAGAATGGAGAGAAAAGAGAGCTGAGGGACAGAGCAAGATTCTTAGTGACAGTGTTTGAGTGCTATGCCTGAAGCTCAGATTAGCCTCTGGATTTTTGGTTTTGTGAGCCGATAAATTCTCTCTCCCTCTTTCTTAAACCAATTTAAATAGCATTTTAGTCACTTGCAATGGAGACATTCCTGACTAGCAAACTGGAATTTAAAAATGTAGCTCAGAAGAGGCACAAAACCATGAGTCATTGCTCAAGTGAAAACCAAAGCTTGGACCATACCAGGAGCAAACTGGTGACTTTGCCATTTTGTCCCTCGCATGAACCTCAAATTCCATTAGAATCAGGCAGAACAGTGAGCTAGGAAATAGCAGAAGCAGCATATTTTTTTCTCCTCCTTGTTTTAATGCCCTGACATGAAAAAATAATCTGGTTATTCTTTTCTGAGTTTTGTGCATGTGCTGGCATCATTCACATGTGTTCATTTGTCTGCTTCCATGAGGGGAAGACATTGAAATAAGCCAGAGACCAGGTCTTAGTGGACTTCTCCAGTGCTTTAAAACGCTCTCTACTTGACTTGGGGATTCCGCTAGTGTTTGTCATTGAGCTTGTAAGCTCCAAAAAGATGTTGTTTAACTCATGCAGCAACTAAAATTGTTCATTGAATAGGATTATCGAGCACCTCCTCATACCAGGCTCCAACTTCCACATACGCATGAGTGAGTGGAGGCAGGTTTGCTTCTCCTCGGGAGGGATTGTTTCTAGTCCGTGGTCAGCCCTTCTTCACCCTTTGGGGCCGTACTTGAACATGGCCCTGCTCTCCCTTCTGACTAGCCTGAATTCTGCTGTCAAAGGATTCTTCACAAAATACTGCATCTCATTCTCATTTCTCACTTTGAGGAGCTTCAGTGGTTCCCTATAATTTTCATATTGGCTCTATCCTCTTCTTCTTAGCTCTTAATAAAACTAATACTACTAATAAGAGCCAATAGTTTGGAGCAATTACTATGTGCCAGGCATCGTGCTTGGGTTTCATATCCATGATCTCAGCTAATCCTCTAAATGACATAAAGTAGATATCAATGTTATCCTGACTTTTTTCCAGATGAGGAAACTGATGCACAGAGAGGCTAAGTAACTTGCTCAAGATCACATCTCTAATAAGTGATGGGGTCTGAATGCAACCCTGTCACTCTGGCTCTAGACCCCATGTTCCTACCAGAAGATTCCACTATCTCAAAAGCTCTTCCATAATCTGCTCTGTCTCTACCTTATTTCTCACAACTTTCTAATTTCCACAGTCTACTTAGGCTGGTCTTATGGCTATGCCCACCACTTTCTGATTAATTTATCATCTTTACTTACTCATTCACTCATTCATTCATTCAGCAAATATTTACTGAGTTCCTGCCCCAGGTACACATGCCGTCCAGATGACATAACCAAGAATGCTCTCTTCTCTCACCACTTCTCCAAATCCTACCTTTTGGGGCTCTGCTCCAGACCTTTCCCTTCATACATCCCTCCTTAGCCAATGCAGCTGGCATGGCCTCCCTTTCCGTGAATGCTGAGGGCACAGAAGGGCATGGCATAGTTTAGAATTCAGTTTCACAGGGGCCTTTGTGAGGTCTCATGCTATCTTACCTTCCTATCAGGAGTTAGATGCCTGGAGGACCAAGTGTCTTATCCATCACAGTGCTGAGTGCACATTAAGCATCAAAGAAACATTTTTATCCAGTTGTAAATAATTGGGATCCAATGAAAATACAATGTTTTTTTAAATGGTCCTTTGAAAAATTATGAATCTGGATTCTTCCTTTGACCTAGAATTCACCTCCAGTTTATGATAGTCTTGTGAGGTAGGATTATTCCCATTTTACAGATAAGACTGAGGCTCAAAGGAGGTAGGTAGATGGCTTGCCTGAGTTCATAAACATATACATTTTAGAGCATGGGTCCCCAACATCATGCTGTCTCCACAATCCTCGGATGGTTCTCCTGAATTCACAAATGTTGAAAATTCATTATAGTTTCTGTGGCTAATGGACTTTCACAGAAAATACGCTTCGTCAGGACCTTCTACACAGGCATTTTTCTTCATTTCCAGGAATGGAAACTCACTGCTGCTTTGAAGAAACTTGGGGAAGCTCTGGCAACTTTTACCTTTGGCCTGCTACTTGGTCCTGGAACTTGAGGTCAAATTCCAGAAAAGAACCACATGGGAGGCACCCCTTGGCCAGGGCTCTGGGTGCTGCCAGGAACATTCCCTGAGTTTGGAGGTGAGGGTGAGCTTTGAGAATATTGTTTTTCCTTTGATGGTTAAGCCGTCTCATACCCAACCGATTTAGTAAAAGGGACCTTGCTGAAAACATGTCCTATCATCTCTTCTGCCTCAACACAGCCAGCCTCCATATGTCCCAGCTGCCATATCCAGCTGCCATGAGAAGCTTTCCTCCCTTCTGAGGCAGTTATCCCTGCCTTTCACCCCCACCCTTACCTTGCCTTGCTCAGATTAGAGCCTCAGGCATGTGCTTACCCCCAAGGGCCTCAAAAATTTCCCAGCCAAAAAGTCTTAATGTCAGAGTATAGTTATGAATGTAGTGCCTCTGCTCTTCCTTCTGCATCAGTGTTCTGCAAAGGGTGATGGTTTGGGGGTATGTGTAAATGACCTCCTCTCCTCAGAGGCTCACAGGCAATGCTGCACTCCCCTGCCAGCCTCTGAAGGACACTGCCTATTGCTTGGTCCTGAGGAGATAGAAATGTCAGCCTGCACCAGATTCTCTCCATCTGCCCCTCCTTCCCCACAGTCCTCACTTCTGTAATCTCTAAGCCTCCCTTCCCTTAATGCTGTAAACACCCCTTCCTAGGTCTTGCCATACCTAGCCCTCCTTTTCAGTAACTCCACACCCAAACCCAACCCCAGCTGTTCTCCTTTCTCTTCATCCCTTCCCCTTCTCCCTGCTCCCAGCACTTTCCCCTCCATTCTGGCCCAAATGTTCCCCTGCCCCTTCCTGACCTCCAGTTGGAGTTCCCCTCCTCAGATCTGCCAAAAACCCCAGGTCTGTTTTCCTGCCCTGCCCCCATCATCTTCCTGCCCACTAATCTCTGCCCCTTGGGCCCTGGACTCTGTTTTCAATCTCTTCTCCCCTATTAGTATAACTCTGGCTGGAGCCAGGATTCTTCTCTACCTTTTGCAATTGTCTTTTCTCCCCATTTATACACAAGTTTCTTTTAAAAATAAATGTATAAAAACAAAAGTCACTTAAATAAAACTATTAAGTAAATAATAAACAAGACAGGTAGTAGTTGGATATAAGACACACTACGCATAAACTTGTGACCTTAAGGAATCGTGTCAATCACGCTGGCGTTGCCCATTGTCAGGCACCAAAAGGTGCTCATTAGAAGTTGATTGGTCTAAAATCCCATAGTCTGAGAGGAAAGAACAACATATATGAAACCTCCATATCAGTGCAGGGTGTAGTAGAGTAAAACATAAATGAAACTCAGCAAGAAGTGAAAGGGTGAAATAAGCAGAGACTCTCAAACTGGGACCACTATGGGGTGTTAAATTTTTATTTTGAAGTTGATGGTCTATATCTGGAGACTGGAAAGCCACAGAAGTGTAGGCATATGATTATAGCAAACAAGAGAAGGATCTAAAGGGAAAATCGACTTCTAAAAGGAAAAACAAATCTTTGCAAGTAGGACTTGCAGGCTTGTCCTATGCTTTGATCTGGGAGTGTTTTAATGATTTCTCTCTCCGTTGAACTAGGAGATGGAGGAGGCCTTCAGGACAGGAGGGCTGGGCCTGGGATTCAGCCCCTCCTCTCCCCTCTCCTGAATGAAGTCTTTACCTTCTCCAACAAAGGCTGCATTACTCACTGTGAGGTTTATTGGGGGGAAGTTGCCAGAGAACAATCCAGGTATGAGCCTCAGCCCCAGTCCTCTCAGGTATAGCCTGGAGAGTAAAGCACCCCCGAACCTAGTTGGGTCTAGGCCGAGAAGATACGAAGAGTAAACAGCCCACAGCGAACCCTGCGTGCCATGCACTGAGTGGGGTACCACGGGGACACAGGCCCTGCCTTCCAAGACACTTGCACTAGCGGCGAGACGGAGACCGTTTGGAGTCTCGGAGAATTAATCCAACCCTAGGGGAGTGTCTGCTGGCGTCTCAGTACATCCATCCCAGCTCCGAGGTCAGAGAAGGGAGGCGGGAGCCGGAACTCCAGCGCCTGCGGCGCGTGGGGTTGGGTAGCATTCCTCACGCCGCCGCGGGGCCACGAGGCTGAGGGCGTGGCCCATGCTGCGACTCCGCCTCTATCCCCGCCCCGCGCGCGTTGCCAGGGTGATCAGGTGACTCGGCGCTCCAGGCGGCTGTGACGTCAGGGGCGCCGCTGCTCTTCACTCACTCTGAGGCAGGTGCGGCGCGTCTTGTGCGGTCTCGCCTGGTCCGGTCAGCTCCTGACCCAGTTAGTCCCCGGCCCGTTGGTGGAGAGGTGAGGCGCAGCGGCCCCGGGCCGGGCCAAGCTGGGATGGCGTGGGGGAGGGGCGCGGGCACAGCCTTTCCCGGATCCTGCGCGTCTACGAGCTCCCCAGAGAGCGCCCGGAGAGCCGGCGGGCACTGGTGCGGGATGGGACGGCTCTGGCGGGGGCGCGCGCAGACCCCCGTGAGGGCTGGGGACCCCAGGGGAGCGGCAGCAGCCGGCTTGATGCCCACCCGGGTGTCTCCCCTCACCCCTACACCCCGGCTGTTCCTCTGGCTCCCGGTCGCCGCGCAGCCAGCGGGGGCTTGTGGGGGCGGGGGGGCGGGAGGAGGAAGCGTCCCGCGCCGCGGGTCCGGCCTCTGGGCGTTAGACTAAGGGGCTCCGCAGTTTAGCGGGTCTCGCGGTTCGAGGAGTCGCGGGCTCGGAGCGGGACTCACCACACCCGGTCTCGGGGGACGTCTGCGGGAGGCTTCTACATGTCTTCGCCTTGGGCTGCGATTTCTGAGGCCCTAACCGGGGACCTACTTGGTGCTCTGAGCCGGGCCTGCGGCGGGCAGGAGGCCTCTCGGGAGCGCTGCGGGTGGGAGCAGCGGCCGGGGTTGTTCAGAGAAGGTGCTGCGGGCGACAAGGAATCCTGACGGTTGAGAGAAGTGGATTGAGATCTGAGTAGACCTGTTGGGGGAGGTGAAGTCTAAGCGGAGACCCGAGGGCTGGAAAATGTTCGCCCGGCTGCGGTGTAGGGGTAGGAGGGAAAGGGGATCTCCGGGGAAGGAGACCGTGATCCTTGCGCTCTTAAGGTGAAGGAAAGATGATTTTGTGACCGACTGCACCGAGTGGTAGGGCTGTTTTGGGGGGGGGGGAAGTTTGGAGAATTAGGTTACGGCCGGTTAGGAAAAACTCTTGAGAGCCTAGCTGAGAGGATTTGTGTGCTGTGAGGAGCCGTTGAAGCGTCGGCTGGATTGGAGTACAGGGAACACTGGGATGGCGAGACAGTGAAGAGGATGTTTTGACAGCCTGGGAGAGAGGTGACAACCCCTAGAACTGGTGTGATGGGATTCTGCGAACCCTTCTTATGAAATATTTGTAACAAACGTATGGAGATGCAGGCAGCCAGGTGCCCTACACTCCAGCCATTGTTAGTAGATTAAAACAAATTTCTTGTGAGATAAAAGAATCACTAACTGCGGCTTATTTACTTGTTGTCTCCTTTGGCCAGATTTAATGACTCCTATTTTAATGACTAGCTTCGCCCCTCCCTGTACACACGGAAGCTGGATTGACCATAGCACTTGCCTTTCAGAGGTTTCAGAGTATCTTGCAAACACCTCTTATCCCCAGGATGACACCCAAACCCCAAGTGACTGGTAGGAGATTTAATCCGGGGAAGTTATTAAAGGAATAATCAATTTCCAAAGAATATGGGCATCGGGCAAGCTGAAAGGAGTCCCATGTTCTTTGTTCACTGTAGAACAAAAAGTTCCCCTTTTCTATCCCATCCCCTCAACTAGTGGTGGGCTTCCCAGCATCAGATTGCATAAATGTTACTTGGCCATTTTGTCTTAACTTCCTGAGAAACAGGAAGGAAATATTTTGATAACTGAAGATTTCTGGTTTTTCCTGGCTCTGACATTTACCTATTCTGGGAACCGCTCCCTCCACCTCCTCCAAAAGGCACTAATGTCCATTTTATATTGAACCTTAGTAACTTCTGTTTTTCTGGGAGGAGATGAAATGGCTGAACCTTACCATCAATTTGTTTCTTATTTGTTTGACTCCAGAAAACAGAATTGTACCTCCAGGGATTCTATACAGTAGAAGGCAGTTTAGGGAATTGCTGAGAACTTGGGGAGGTGGCCGCAGCTGGTTTATGCATTAATGTAGAAACCAGTGCTCGGGAGGGCAAATCCAGAGTGGTGGCACCTGGGAGATCAGTAATATCATTCTCTGTAAAGGAAGTCTTAAGGTAGGTTCCCTGAACAGTGTGTTTACTACATTACTACTTAGCAAAAAGTTTTCCCCCTGTGTTGTGTACCTGTTCAGAGGTAGGGCTTGTTATGATAGTGATTTTTAAGGGGTTTTACAGAAGCCCCATAATATTAAGAATTGCTGGATATTAGATTTCTTGGCCACATTTTAAAAAGATTGTTAACCATTCTCTAAATCTCTGGGAATATTTGAACCGGCCAACTAATCCCGCTTTCTTTGGAAAGAAACAGCCCGCCTCCCCACTTCCCCAAACACCATGACAGTGTGTTGTGAGGGCAGTTAAGTAGGCCAAGAATTTTGGGAAATTTTCTGCTTTCATCCACCTCTGCCACCCCCATGAGTTTTCCTTGGCAATGGTAGAGAATTTAAGACTTCATTGTCAGGAAAATAAAAGTATGTTTCCTTAGACACAGCTCTGATAAACACCAGGCTGCCTGCCCTGTTGGGAAACTTAGAGGGAACTAGGCCCAGGTGAGAGGGAGAACTAGGGTAAGGGCCAGAGACCCACCACGGAGCAGTCTGAGCCTGCACCTTTGTCACCCAAGGCCCTGGGCAGGGCCCTCCTTTCTTGGCACTGAAACATTCCCCGACCTTGGAATAGGATAATGGTTAGTACACCCTACCCAGAGGTAACAAGGAGAACGAGAGGCTTATATGAAGTCCGAGCTCCTTCATAGCAGAATCTTTTAATTCTTGGATGAATGATATATTTTGAGATGTAGTCAAATGAAAAAGAGATGGACATTCTAAATTTTTATAAAAGCCTCCTTCAAACCCTAGGCTATTTTTGTTGTTGTTTTTTCCTGGAATATTGGGCTTGGTTACCAATTAGCCTATAATCCTTATCTGGAGGCCTGAGGGTAAGTGCATGTTTGTATTTACATGTAAATCGGTTCAGATTTTTCCCCACTCTCCTTCGGACTCTGAGTGCCTGGAGTAAACCAGTAACCTAGCAGGCAGTAGGAATTTAGACCCAACATCCTTTCAACCCTAAAGGAGTTTATTAAGCTTATCAGAGACAGAAGTGGGTAATAATGCTCACTAAATTAAATAAGAAGTGAAAATAGTATCTTTTAAAATTCCCCTATCCTATGTCAGTCCACCAGTTCTCCTACTTAGTCAACTAGAGATTCAAGTGTTTACTGGTGTTCCTAGGGACTCTACAGAACTGTAATATCCACCTCTTAGATTTCTGACATTTGTTGGCTGGGCATAGTTCTCACTCAAGCGAAATTCTGACAGGAGAGGTTTCTTGTTTTTCTCAGACTGAGCTGAGTGCTGTGTTCCAGGACTTTGAGCTCCCCATGCTTGGCCACGGCTACTAATTGTCTTGGCTTGGCTATAAAATGGGAGTCAGCAATTAAAAACAGTATAGAAGCGAGGGGTTTGGCTATGAGATGACCCTTCAGCCTCTAGCCAAAAAGGTTCACACCACTTTGTGCACTATATACTAAGTGATCCTCAAAAGGAAGTGAGCTTGGAATGACTTCTTTTTTTGTAGTTTTTAGGAGACATGTGTGGAATATCAGTACTGATTTAGGCCTCAAAACCAGAGGTAGGAAACGGGATGGGCCCTCATTTCTAAAACAAGGGAAGCAGATGGTTTGAATCCAGTCTGTATGGGCAGCAAGCCTGTGGTGTGACTTTGCTGAAAACAAGAGATGATATATATTTTTCTGAACCCTTTCAATGAAATGGTTTAAGGGAATATTGGTAGTCATGGTGGGAAGAGGTTTTGATTTACCTGAATTTCCTCATTGGGGAGTGATGCTTGATTTATAGGTGCCTATCATTAGTTCTCTGATGATTCATGCTAAAGAATCCTTAGTCCCAAGAGAATTGGCCTAGAAAATACATCATAACTGAAAATTATCTGACCACAGGGTTAGTGTTCAAAGAAAGGTAGGGGTGGGGCACAATTGAACTGCAAAGGTATTTGGGGAGAAGAATTCCTGGGAAGTGGTGCTCAACTTCTGTCACGTTAAATTTCTAATGCTGCCTCCAGTTCTTTACCAGTCAGCTTTCAGTGTCAGGACCTTGGTCAGAGTGTTTGGGGAAAATATGTGTGAAGAGGGGAATTTTTTTTAGGAATGCACCTATATCATGAGTCCTTATCATTAAGCCTAATACTTATTGCTTTCCTGTTGCTGCTAGCTTCCTGGAGACACCAGACTCCCCTTCTCTTCCTCCACCTCCAGCCTTTCTTCTTCAACAACACTGTCACTAAGGCCAGTGTGATTCTTCTATCTCTGATTCAGTTTCTGCATCCTTCTCGCTCTGCTGAGTGCTAAACGAAACCTTGGTGATCCTTGATATCTGGCGGCAGTCATAGAAACTCCAGTGAGGGGTAGTTGCATTCTGAAGCAAGAGGCTTGGAAGTGGATGCTTTACCTGTATTTCTCATACTTGTGTGCCATTTGTGATTTTTGTCTTCTCTCCATGCCATCTGTACTATATTTAACACTTTTCTTTAAATCGACCCTTATAAAAAATGACATTTATTTAAAAAGGAAACTGTGTTATTGCCTTAAATTGAAACTACTATCACCTGCCACCAATAGAAGGCATAACTATTAAAATTAAGTTGTTTGAAGTTGGAGGTATCACACTACCTGATATCAAACTACATTACAAGGCTACAGTAATCAAAACAGCATAGTACTGCCATAAAAACAGATACTTTGATCAATGCAACAGAATAGAGAGCCTAGAAATAAATCCACACCTATACGCTCACTTAATATCTGACAAAAGAGGTAAAAATATGTAAGGGGTAAAGACAGTCTCTTCAATAAATGGTATTGGGAAAATTAGACAGATACACACAAAAAAAAGAAACTGGACTACTTTCGTACATTGTATAAAAGAATAGATTCAAAATGAATTAAAGATTTAAATGTAAGACCCCAAACCATAAAACTTTTAGAAGAAAACATAGGCAGTAAACTC